ATGGGCACGGCCTCCCCGCTGCTGTGATTAGTTAGCAGCAAACCCAGAGTCAGTGATGGTTACATACAGATTAAGTACAGGAGTAAATACCATTAAGTTCATCATATACTTTATAAGCATTAAAAGGTAAAGTCCTTTCTAGCATTAGTTGTCATTTAGTTACAGCTCTTTCCCTCACATTTTCCTTCAAACATATTTGCATTRAAATAATCCTTTTGCCAGCTCCACAGAAGTTCCCAGTCTGGGTTTAGGAATGTAATGGGTAACAGACCCTCAGTTTTCTCTCAAACAAGAGCAGATGATGCCCCTGCTGGTTTAAAGACAGGCAATACAAAGCTCAGGAGAGAACTGTAACTCTCTCCAAACCTCTCAGCAACAAGAGGACRAGAAAAGAAAGGTCCTACATGTCAAGTGAACCAACCTACTGCCAAAAATAAAATCCTAAAAGGTCCTCTTCCATTGGCTACCCCTCCTCCTATTTTGAGCTTAACCCCTTAAACAAATAAACAAACCACCACACTGTTGCCTTCTATACATCCTGTCTCCCCTCCCCCCAAAAAACCTARAACACAACTAAAGCACAAGCAGAAAAGGATGGTGGTATGAAGAGTCAAATTAACCATTATTGCATGAGATACCAATGAACTTCTRCAGGAAAAATGAATAGTAAAACTGGTCATGGAATCTTTAGTTGCTGCGTACAGAGACTGCTCCTGCAAAAACCTGTAACAAGGACACACTGAGCTCCTCCTGCCATAAGCTAAAAGGCTTTTCACCTCTCTGCAGAAAGAAACATACACAGAGGACCCAGATTTGGTGTCTGCACAGTGACACCACACCACGAGTTCCATGGGCCTGTGAAGCACTTTCACCTGTCAATGCCCAGAATTTCACACAGTGTGTGACAGAACAGCCATGCACAGGCCACTGATCACAAAATGGTAGAGTTGTTCCTCCTCTTTCAGATACAAGTCACAGAATGCCAGCCTTCTCCCCAGACTGAAAAATAACCCAGAGGAGATAAGCTAGATCTGCCTTTCCAGTAGCTAGTGAGCCTTATGGAAGACAAATCCATCAAAAAGGAAAAAAATAGTTACACTTGAACACAAGTAGAACCAATTTCTTACTTGTTTTCACAAATAYCCAGGTTCTGTGAAAATAATAAGCAGCTGCTGCCAAGCATACTAATAATCCTGTTATACATCACTAAGGCAGGGTGGAGGAGTAACATTTTAAAACCCACTTTCCTCCCTCACAGTAAACTCAGTTAAAGCATGACTCATTTCAGTAAAAGATGTGAACTTTATGTGGAACAGAATAAAACTTGATCTATGTGGCTTTTTCAGGAGGGAGAGCTGGTCTGGGGAATTTACACAAACAATATACTGAAAACCCAACAATAAACTCACTGTAGACGTGAGCCTCTGTCTCAGCTTGTACCAAATGCCACCCAGCTAAGTAACAGCCTGATATGAGGCCTTTGGGCTGCTGAAGGACTGGGGCAATATTATTTTAACAAACTCAATGAGTTTTATGTCACCCACCTGCTCAAGTTATTTATTACCTTGTGCTCAAGCTCTCAGAGGTTGTTGTTAGATAGTGCACAACCACAGGAACAAAGGGAAAGGTGGTACACGTTCTCTGGAAGGAACTTTGGGCTACATGTTAGAGGCTTCCAGAGTCCACATCCATTTAGAAGACTCCCTATAAGTGATTTGCTAAAGTGGCTTGAATGGGAGTTGCTGAAAAAAACCAACTTTCAAATCCAAGAAACCTGTGATATGTTACTGACAATTGGACACTGGCATTATCCAAGGAGAAACATCAGTACGGGGCACTTCTGTTGGCCTCATGCCTACTCAAAGAGTTCTTTTCTCCTGCAGAAGTTTCTTCAAAATATTCTTATCCAAAGCAATTTCTCCTGCACTCAYACAGTAACAAGACCAAGTCACTGTGCGGAAATTAAGGCAGGAGTATTTTTTCACTCCCAGTGCTCACTTTTAAAATGTATGGTTTGCTCCACTTTTGTTAGTGGGGGAGTAAATTCAGACTAAAATACATTAGCAGAAAGGCTTGCAGGAAATCACAGTATTTCCACTTTCCTCACTTTCTCCAGCTAGAAAACAGCTTCACACTTCTACCTTTCATAATGTGTTTTGTCTCCTACTGCACAGGAAAACCTTTACCTGAAACTGAAGGAAACAAGTGGAGGATCAGCTCAGAAGGATATTTATTCCTAGTTTTGTAACTAGATTGAGTCTACCTTTGAATAACTTTGTCTCACTATCCATAAAAAAAGAAAATAAGACATCTCAACAAGGAATGAATCTATCCATGTCACAGACTGCTATGAGATCTGTTCCTAAAGCTCCACACAGAATTTAAAACTTTATTTCTGCATCCTCCAGGGATTCTTCACRCATTAAAAAGCTTAGAAGTAGTTATAATCCCTCTTCTATTATTGCTGCATACAGCACTGAAATCCACCTATGGAGATTTTAATTATCTCAAAGGCAGAAAGACCTTCTTGCTTTTATTGTGCCATTTCCTCCAAGAGAAGCCAAGTACTGCCATAGCCAGACACACTTCCCAAGCCCGAGCACCAGGAACAGAGGTAGCCTTGTATCTGTGCGATGAAAGCGCCCGCTGTTGCCAGGGAAACTGGGTTATTCACATCTCCTCAGCCCAGCACAATGCTCACAGGCTCTCAGCCCCCACCTGGGAGCAAAGGGAGCAGAGCAAAGAGATCAGAGCCAGGAGCTCACCTGTCCTGACACTTCCAGCTGCTCTAGGTGCTGCTGTGCTCGATGGCAAACAGAGACAGCAGATGGGCTCAAGCAAGAGCACTTGGTYTCTCTGCCAGTGTCTCTGTTAGGGTCAACCTTATGAGGGTTCTTATTCTCATTTTAGGGCCAGCCAGTCTCAGYTACTATCAGTAACAGAGCCATCAAGGCTTTCAAGAGAAAACCATCACCTTTCAAGAGAAAGATGAGCCACAGCAACAACAGACAACTGCTGGCAAGAAAAAGGGCAGGCAAACAAGGACGATGGGCTCCAATGTGCTGGGCTGAGAGAGCACCAGAGACACCAAGGACACGGCTCCACGTGTGTTCTGCTTCTCATCTCACCACCAGACACATCCCTTTCTCCTCCTCTGGGTAACCCAACAGAAATCTCAACCCATGGGGAAGGGCAGCAACTGTGACTTCCAGCAAGGAGCCCTCCCAGCACAGCAGAGGAACATTTCCATCCCTGGCCCTCTGACATTCTCTTACAGTACCACCCTCCTGCACAGTACAATGGGCACTGAACTGCCTGGGCTACAAAGGCTCATCAACAATTCACACATTCTGCAAAAACCTCTCAAGCAYTTACTTCCTCTTTTGGTTCTGACAGCAACAGCCTGGCCTTGCTTTGCTTCATCCTATGRGTCTGTTCTAGCATTTCCTTCCTTAGTTTCTGCTTCCATCCTCTCATSTTTCTCATCTCTGTCCCATTTTCTTTTATTTTCCTCAAATGTAATATTCTTTTCTCTTTGATCTTGTGCTTCCTCTCTACTACACCACTTCCCTTCCTCACTGCTTCAAATTTCACCTGGGTAGGGGGCAAGGAAGAATCTAACAAATTTACAGTTATAAATCCACTGGCACTCAGAGAGAGCACAGCAACACTGCTCCCTTGTCCTGCTGCCTACACCCTTCCTGCTGGGTGCCACATTCATTCTTTGGAAATATGAAATCATAGACCTAACCYGAAAGCAGCAAGGGTAAAAGAAATTAACTTCTAAGTCAAAAGAAAGATTATCTGCATCTAATCCATGGCCACACAATGGTTCAAATGCACGTGTCATACTTTCACAGCAGCACAACATCCATAGCTGCTTGAGAGGCTTAACAGCAGCATGCAGAGAAGATTCCAAGTGAGCTGTGCTCCAGCTAATCCCGCTAAAAGAGCAGTGAAGCCACAGCAGCTCAGACCTGCCTGCCTAAATAAATACCTAGAATCCTGGAGGGGGAAGGGAGCTGTACGTCCTGCCAAAGCCTCACATCACTGTGGCTTCTTTGTGAATGGYACCAAAGCTAGCACAAGTTTGTAATGTCTACACTCACTCCAAAAACATCCTCATAGCTGCAGAGCAGAGCAGAGCTAAGGCAGTTTGCACCCTTGTGTTTCCATGCCGGGGAATGTGTGAGGCCATAGCTCGACAATGCATTGTCTTGGCAGCAATAGGGTTTTAGGTTTCCCCCACCAAGCCATAAACCACTTCACGGCCCTTTCCCCTCTTATCCCCTTAGTTCTGCACCCCCACAGATGCCTGTGGTCCAGATAAAGAACTCAGCCAGCTCAAAGAAAAATATCTTTGACGCTTCCCTTCTAAGCTGGATCAGCTCTCTGATCTAGTTCATGGCTCAGAAATCCAAACYGGAGGGATACACGCACAGTCGGTCTGGGGTGGGTACAC